CAAATACCATATTGCTTAGGCGCTATACACGAACGGTCCATTTCGCAATCCGCTGCTTGATGACGGCCTCCCCCATGCCTTCCGGGGCCATGAGGGACATTTAACATCGGTTATCTCGTCAAGGAGCATAAACCATCACGCGAACTCCGGTCATCCTCGCAAAGACGGTCACCGCATCGCGCACTTTCAGATGCACTTCTGCGGCCACCTGGAACGCTCTTCCTTACGATATTAGGAAGCCACTGCAGCGATGTACTTTGAAATTTAAATTGAAAAAGAATTTCTTCTTTTTGTGTTCAGTTTATTGTCTTTCCCCCGCATCTCCTATTGGCGCGGTTAGCTGCGTACGCTGCGAAATAAGTTCAACATCCAAAAATAACCATACTTCACCACGCTGACCATTGCGGGTTGGTAACGGTGGGAGCAGTGAACAGAAATTGGTTTCACTACACTACACTGCCCTCTAGTGCCCAGCAGGCTCTACTGCAGTTCCTTTCGGACGGGGCATTTTAGTCCAGGACAGCTGTTGTCTGGGCCACGACCATAAACGGTGACGTTACATCATGGAACCTCCTTTGCCAGTACCAAAATATTAGAATAGGTTTTTCCCCCTTTTATCTGGCAACAAAACAGGTGTTACGTTGTTAAAACACCAAACTGAAACCTTTTACAAGGAATCACGTCTGCATTCACCACAATAGTTGTGGTCAAAATGCAAACCAAAAAGGCAATGACATTACAGCGAAGGAAAGTGAATATGGGTGACCCAAAAGGGCATTTTGTGGCCCAAAAAGGGATTTGTTGGCCCAAAAGGGCATTTGGTGGTGCAGGACGTAGCCCAGTGTCGCCCTAGCGCCAGCCTTGCTGCCCACAAAAAAGCCATTTTTCTTCGTGGAAATAGATGTAATTATGCAAGCCCTCACTGATTGCGGCCTAAATAAAACAACCATGGAAATAATAACCATTTAGAAAAAAATAACAGCTATACTGAGAAAGTGTGAAGAATACACTGAAACATATTTAGAAGCCGCGTTGGACAAACGGACACTCTTTCACAAGTTATTCACAGCGGCATTTGGAGGGGGTCTTTAAAAAAGAATTGGATTTAAGAATTAAATGCATAAACACGTGTAAAGCAAAAATATTCACAATCTCAGATTTGCAGGTAATATAGTCATTATACCAACCAATAGAAACAAACCACAGATAATGATTGACGCAAGAAGGCTGCAAGGTTAAGATAAATATTAGCAAAAAATAGTCACGTAAAGCACGTGAAGACAACTAAAAAAACAACATAACTTAAAGAAAACGAATATCACCCTATGTTCCTGCTCCAGACATATGGATTGGTGCCCATCCCTATTGGTGGACCTGAGCCATTGGTGTAAATTCCACATTCCCCTGGCATGTATGTGTTGTTGTACGACAGTGGTACCGTCCACATGATGACCACGTCGATGATGTGACTTTCACCCCTTCTTGTTTACTTTGGTAAAAGTGTTGTCTGCTGAGTTTAAATGCCCACGCCACTTATGCAACGAGCTTTACCTCTGACCACCGGGTGGGATTAAAGTTCAAACCATGACTTTAGGTGCCTTGGCGTTATGGTGCTAATAATGGGTTGTAAGGATAGACTTATCACTTATCAGTTTCTTATCACAATCACTTTTATCATTGCATTTAATCTGCCCCTTTACAGCCCCCATTTCCACTACTAGTGGCATAAACCATGTTGCATCTATGTGGAGCATCAGGGCAAAGATAGTGCAATCACTTTATTGTAGTCATTACCAACCACGCCGTGTCCTCTTAACCTTCCTGAGTTCATGTATCTGTCTGCCAGTAAAAATATACAACGTACATAGTCTTACTTTACATTCTGGCTTTACATGGCCTTTGTATAGATAGGCAAATTTCACATTCCTGTAAATTGTGTAACGTTTTCTTGTTGTGTTGATGTGTCACGATATCCATAATCGCTGGTCCATTTCCCGCGGTCTTCCTCGAACAATTCTTTCAATGCGCTTCATCAATTCTTTCAATGCGCTTCCACCCAGTTTGAATAATTATTTTCATCAGTTAATTTCTATCCACTGCTGGATGAAGGCAACCTCAAATCATCATCATCTTTCCTTCATGATCCTGACTTGTCACAATCCATTTCGCTATTTCGATTTAAAGCTTTCGTGACTGCAGGGATTTATCTTCTTGGTTCTTTCGGTAAAGTCACGTAGAAGGGAAGTAATAAAATAATACAAATAAAACATAATAAAATAATTCTCACGACGTTTCGGCCACAATGCAAGCAGCCGTACTCAGGTGAAAACCAGGTCTGTCGGGGAGACCGCGTCTGAATGAAACAGCACACGAGCTTGGAGCATATATATAAGCTGGGTTGGGAGGAATTTAGCATATTTATGGGAAATGCAGGAATGTGATTAGTACTACATATGCCCGTGCATTATGCAGGATTAGCAGCATCAAAGGGAGGGGATATGGGAAATGCAGGTATGTGAATAGTACTAATTATACCCGTGTACACGGGCATACTTCTTTTCTACGTGACTTTACCGAAAGAACCAAGAAGACATTTCGCTATCGCGCACGAACTGGTTGTCCTCTCAGGCAGGCTCGATCCGACAGTTACTCTTCTGTCACCAGTCTCATCAGTTGGCAATCATCCTTTCTAGAAATGTGTCCTATCCATGCCCGGTTACTTTCCTTATTTCGGTCAATATGATGTCTCTAATTTATATTTGTTCCCTGATCCCAGAGTTCCTTCCATCTCCCAGTGTAATTCCAAGCATATATATCCATTCGTGCTACACTTTTCGTATTTTCCCCTCATTTTGTCAGTATTACATGTTTCTGATTCATGTCATCACCTGACGTTTATGGCTTTAAATACATTACAGCAATTAATAACACAAACCAGAGTTAAACCAATGTTTACATTGTGTAATACGAATTGCAATTACAGTAAACCCTCTGTATCCGCGCGAGGGTTACGTTCTTGAAAATGCTCCACGAATGCAGAATTCGCGAATGGAGGAACCTCTCTTCAATCGGAAAATGGGTTTACGTTCCTTATACGAGTGAACATAGTGGGGAAATGGTAAATGTTGAATAAAATTACTACAATAAATCCATTATAAAAAACAATGTTCAGTTTGTATTCCCTTTGATGATGATGATGATTTGACGATGATTGAGGTGGTGGTGACGGTGGATGACTCCTCGGGACATGCAGGTGTTGATAACAACGCACAGTTGTTATCATTCTAGGACTCTGGAGAGCGCCAGCCGCAACACTTTCCCTGTATGCAACCGCGTTCTTATACCAACATGTAATAGCAAGTTCAGAGCGGGATTACAGCGAGACTGAGGACTCAGCGGGCAGCCGCGCGGGGCCTTGCCGAATCTTCGCAGACCGTTTCAAATGTAACCACATTCTGCACGCACCACCCACCTGTCCGCGGTCTGTAGGCACTGCGTACTTTCACGAACAATGGAGTCCGGTGGGTCGCGAATAGAGAATTGAGATACATTTAGTAACTGGCAAATGTGCGAAATTCGCAATTCCAGAACTTGCACATAGAGGGTTGACTGTTACAGTTATAAACATGGTGTTGGACCAGATGACGCCTTTTGGCGTCATCTGATCCAACACCATGTGAGACTAGGCTCTAAGGAAAGCTGTCTCGGGTGTGGACCAATCAACTTCAAGGACAATGCATACATTATCAGTTATGTTTTTTGTTTGCATTATGACTGCAGGCATTGTGCTCTATGCAAACATGACTCCTTGTAAAAAAAGGTGTCAGTTTTGTTGCCAGATAAAAGGGTAAAAAAACAATTATCAGCTATTACAAGTTAGCTTAATGTATGTATTCATTGTACTTTGCTATTAAGATAAGTCCAGTGATCTTACTGAAGAGTCATTTGTGGATAGGAACTTATAAGTTGTATAAAAATGCACTACTCTGTTGGAAACGAATAGTGGCTGTCATTTGGAACGATCGGCCTGCGCAGTAGCAATGTGGCATTTCCACTGCAGGCTCCATGCCTCCTCGATGTGGCGCTGCACACTCGCTGGAGGAGCGTGGTGGCACTTTTCTTTTGACTCGTCGGTGCAGCATGGCACGCGGCAGCACACCGCGCAAATCGGCGGTCGTGTCCACACGTGTGTTCAAAGAACCATCATGCAAACCGAGGACGGTGAACCCCACCGCCAACCCGCTCCGCTCGTGATGAGTGCAAGCAAGCGACTGTCACGCTTGCTGTTAACGCTTGCCTTGTAATAACCCGTCCGAATGACACCGCGCTCGATTTACAGCGGCTGTGTCCTTGGGGCATCCGGGAGGGTGGCCCTTTGTTTGTGCCGCCGAACTCACAAGGATGGCAAAAAACACCCGTCGTGAGTTCAAGCCTTTATCGTTGGAGGAACAGAAGTTGAACTCATTTGAACTCATCATCCCTCTGAAGTCGAGAAAATAAATGACCACTTTGTGGGAAGTCAGCAGTTGCTTGTTCCACGGACAGACCGGCCTCTGCCTTCGGAATGTGGAATCACCACCACTGGCTCAGTGTCACCGAGAGAGAGCAGCACTGCTTAGCACACAGTTGAGCATTGTACACTTTGGCTTTTGATATGCTTGACGTTCACACGGTGCGTTTGTTGTGCACTCTTTAAATAAATACTAAAACCAGTGTCCCAGTACAGGGCAAGCAGCGGCAGGCATGCAGTCATGACCAGCATTAAATCTAATGAAGAGCACATCTTTGGAGTTGCATGCTTATAAATGTGCTGTGTATGTCAGTGTTTGGCTATTAGTAGTTTTCAGGAACAGAAAACATCTGTTTAAAGTGACCCATCATCCGTTATCATCAAGTGTGCATTTGTTTATCCTGGCCTTCATAGAATACATGTTGACGCATTTATTAAAAAATTATTAAATATGTTGAGGAGTACCCACGGACGCACTCGGAGACGCAGGTAAGTTGAGAGGCTTCCGCCAAAGGTTCATCAAGAATATAACAATAACACACACCAGGGTATACAACTTCCCAGGGTCTAGGGGTCCTACACTGAGTCCCACCACACGACCCTGCTCTGTCTGGTCCCAGTCCGGCTAGCTCCGGTCTCTCTCTCTCGTGTCGGATCGGGGACTCTGCCAACTCCACCGACCGGAGGGAGAAGCACCTCTACGGCTACCACCGGCTTCTCTTCAGACTCACCTCTTGATCCCTCTACACCTGGTTCTCTCTCTACCCTTCTACCATTTCCCGTTCCCACAGTGACCCCGCTTTCATCACGGGGTCTCCCTTAAGTACTCCAGGAGACGTGACGTCATCACACTGAACGGCACACCTGACGTCACGTCCCCATTTCACTCCTCTACAAATATACAAAACAAATTAAAGCACAATATAAGGTCAGTATATAAATTGAAATATTTATACAATACATTACACTATTATAAATTCCAGCGTGCATAATTTCATCCCAAATGTTGCATTTTATTTATTTGGTCACTCATTAATATGATTGTAGACATGCAACAGGGCAGAATAGGAATACGTCTCACAATTTTTGGTAAATATACACAATATTTTATTGCTTTTAATGCATCATTTACATTATCACATAATTTCCCTGACTACTTTGTACAGTATATACAAATGTTTTTACATTATAATATCAATCACATAAAACATTTTAAGTGATTAATGGCATGAATATGAATATAATAAGACAAGTTTAGTAAATCGTGAACTCAAACTGCCCATGTGTTAATCTGACAGTATTTTACATTTTATTGACAGAGCAATTAAATGTCTATTTCAAAGGCCCATATAAATAACTCATTTATATCTTGGGAAAAATGTAATGCCAAAATATTCATTATATAGTTCATGTTTTAAATTGCTTATTAATTCTTACTTCTAAAAACTCCATTATCTATTCTAGTTCGAGACCCAACTTGTACCAATTCCACACAATCTACCATACTTAAGGTGCAGTCATTTGTTTATAAACAGTTTCGTGATATGGCCGTGGGAAAAAAAAGTTGAACAAATATAAAAATGCTACATAAAACTGCACAAAGTGGCCAAGAATGTTCGACTTATTGCATCATTGGTTTATCATACAAGTAAAATTACATTCCGAAGAGGGTCTATGGCAATGGCAAATCTAGATGATTATACATCTGAAAAGGCAGTCAGGTAGGCTGGTCCAACAATTGTAGGCTGAGCAGTTTACATTTTACAGATGGCGATCGTCTGCCTACCCAACCTACAATGCAGCGGACACAGATTCAAAACTCCACTGTCCATCGAGACATTAGTGGCGGATATATCGAGTGGGAAGGTGCTACAATTGCACTCCGTCCCGAGGACTACTACCCCAGAGGGCCCAGGCAACGGGCCGCAAAATGGGTACTGGGGGTGGGTGTAGAAGGTGGACACCAACCAGGGCCAAAGCCAACCATGTCACGTGACTGCCTCTCGACGTACGTCCGATTGCCTCTCACACGTCCATCTTCTCCATTTGCTGGGAGGGCGTAATTACTTTACAAGCGTCGTCTTCTGTGGTGGTCTCTAAAATGGTCTTGCTGTAGTAGAAGCGGGCCACCAACGCCAACATGAACATCTCCAGGATCATTAGGTGCTGGTGCAGTACTGTAACGACAATGCAATCGATGCAGTGAGGTCCACTGGATTGTATTCAACGTCATCAATTCCACAATCGCCACTACAAAGGGCAGCAATGCATATCAGCATCTATCTATACGGGCAACTGGCTGGATTCATGTGGAAAAGCCACCATCCCAAATCGAGTAGTTATGTTATGCATAGTCAATTAGGCAGCATTGTTTTGGCCAGAAATGTATGATGCCCTGCAAAGACATTGTAGCCAGAAAAACTAAATGAAAACCCATTACTTTTACGGAAAAACGTAAAAAAAATGTTGTAAAATATGACCGGGTGGCTCTATGGTTATTGCTTGGCTCACAATCAGACGGTTTTAAGTTCACATCCCAGTACGGGGTGATCGATTCAGCTCTTTATCCCTCCAGCATTGTCATCCTAAAAAGAAAATGAGCCATCACAGTGCGTTGTGAGATTTGTACTACTGGCTTAGGGCCACTAACAGAGGTGCATGTCGCTCATCTGAGCAGGGAGATTCTTTCAGATGAGGCCTCGTTTAGAAGCTCTGTAACATCCAAATCGCCATCGACTCTATAGGCTTACCAACAAATAACACAGGCTGTCTGATATTCACATGACAAATAGGGCCTCATTAACATTTCAAATGGCCTATGGTACCTAGTAAACACTGCACTCTCGTAACAGTGTCAGGACATTCAGGGACTTCAAAGAGGAGAGGTTTCGTGTACACAATGAGTGGTGCAGTTGCCACTACAATTGTTCTTGTTTCACTATGTATTTACTTTATTGTAACATTTGTGAATTACATACGGAGATTTTCACAAGGATGGCCTGCAATAGATATCCCAGGCAAACAAAAATGAAGTCAAGTCAAGTAAAGCTCATTTGTTAAACCAAGTGAGAACTCCGGAGACCAACAGAAATCTCATTTGCGACAGTGACCAGGATCAGCAAAATAACAAAAGAAAAACAAATAAAATAAATAAAAGTACAACAATGAAGCGAATCGATAATTGAAAATAATCTTAGATAAACAATGTATATAATTAGATCTACAAAGGATTGTAGAATATACTAAATATTATTGACACAGCAGAGAATTTATCTGCATGTCGCAGGATTCTGATACGTAATTTTGGCACATTAAGAAAATATATTCAAGGACACACAAGAAAGCCTACATTACTATATATACAGGACTCAATCTGCAAGGTGTCGGTGCGTACATCAACAGGTATCTATAACTAAGTGTGGTACAAAAATAGACGTTTTAAAGTGGGATTATTATACGGCCAGAACTCTTTAAACATTCTCTCAGCTCATAAAGATAAAAATCTTTATGAACATGGCCAGTAAAGGACCATTTGTGGGAGGAAGGCAGCCCAGACATTGTAATCGAGGCAAAACAAAGTTTGTGGAATAAAAAAAAAGTCCACTATGATTGTGTGATGTTTGGGAAAATATATTTTGCCCCCGAATGGAATTTGTTCTTTTTCATCAAATGCATTGTGAGGTTTTTTTTCTATATTCCCTAGGAATTAAATTATATTTTGGCAAAATAATTACAAGAGAAGCACAAATTTAAAAGTTAAGAGCATTTTTTAATGAACCGTGCCCAGTATTCGTTCCCCCCACCTTTTGGGTGTCGCTATTCAGATTATTATTATTTTAAGTCTTCTGCACTTCTTCTGCCATTTGAATTCACTTCAAAGCTTATTTGTCACACGGAAAATCCTATTTAGCCAGTTACCCAGCTAGCTTCAGTGGCAACAGCCCACAGCCACTAACAACAACAACATAGTTTTTGTTGGGGTAGAAAGGAGCCCAGCCAGCAGCCAGCCAGGAAACTCGAGGCAAAGATTTGGAATCGTAGTACGATTGTAGTGGCACTCATAGGTTGGTGATCAAGGGGAAGACATTAAAGCTAGGCACGGTGTGCTTTAAGCGTACACCTTGGAGGGCCACGTGTGGAAGAAAGTAAGCAATTGCGAGGATGGCGGCATCAATTGCATTGGCCATGGTGACCTCTTTAAGCAATCCATCAAGAGTTAAACTATAGCTTTAGTCATCAAACTAATTTAATTATCATAAACACAGTAGTGGCAAGACAGTGGTGTAACCCCATTACTATTATTTGGCTCTCTAAATGTAGAAAAGACGACATAGGTAACAGCCGTCTTTCTGCCTTATTGTCTTCACACGCGCGTGTGTTAACGTACTGAGTCCTTTGTTGCGAGCTGGAAGAAACTCGTCACATTTGATGCCACCGAACAGCACCGCAAAGTTTAAGCAGGAGCTCTGCAGTGTGGTGATGATGAGGACAGCCTGTACGCCGCACACACAGAGACACCAGAAAGCAAACAGACCAAAGGTTTAGATCAGGAATCAAACCCAGAAATAATATAACGTTATACACATACATATATATATAGCATCATACATGCAAGTTGCATTTCAAAACACTGTCGTCGAATTTGCAACATGCATACTTTTCGGACAGAGGTGTGGTAAACCACAGGCAAGCGTAAAAGCAGCCAGAGCCAGTGATAACAATTGCCCACGGTCAGTGGTCCTATAATTGGATTTTTGGCAAGCGCCAAACATCCCAATCTTGACTTGTATTTTTTTGTTATTTTCTTTGCACCTATCTACGTGACATACTCTTTGGTTCTTTCTCTCGGTAAAATCACGTAGGTAAAACGTGACTTTACCGAAAGAACCAAAGAATATCCAAACATCCCAATTTGTCCTAAATAGGGACATTTGACCAAATCCAATATTAATGCCCTTCACCTATGAAAGCGTAATTGCATCTCAAGACTCTTTTTCATGAGAATCCCGCATTGAATTATTTGGTCATTGCCATGAATGGGTATTTGGCATGTGGGTGATTTAATCGTGAAGCAAATTGTGAATCCTTTGAGAAGATCTCGGCATGCTCGAGCAAGATTTCCCATGCACTAGTCTTCATGTGCCACTGCAGTCCACCTCTTTAGACTTACCAACATTTCAATGAAAAGCAAAGTAAGATTGAACACTTTTCAGCATCAAATGAATATAAAAGGTGGCGAAATGGACTGCGCCGAGCCGTGAGAGCTGACATGGAGGAGGCTCTGAACTGCGGAGCTCTTAAGCATAGTTCACAAAAGATCAGCTTATCTCTGCCCGAACGAGTAGTAAGGGCGGCTCCTATCTTGATTGATAGCTCTGATATAGAGTAGTATATTCACAGCATCAAAAGTAAACTAAATTCTTTTTATTGTACCTGGTAAGGCCCACTGAGCTACATAGTTTTTTTTCAGAAGCGACTTGGCCACAAATGATAGCGCAACGAAGTGGCTTATCATGTGGACATTTATAGCAGCAAAAAACATTTAAACGTATGTTTCTAAATGTGGAGGGAAAAACTGGAGGACCCGGTGAAAAATCCACACGACCATGGGGAGAGAGACACGCAAACTCCAAATATACAGGCATCAGGATCGGGATTGAACCCACGACCTCCTGCATACCAGGCGAGGTAGTTAACATCTCACTACCGCGGCATCAAAGTCAAGCAGCGAGAAGTCTCTCCGCTAAGCCCTTCCCACAGGGTGGTGTGAGCCGATAATTATCTGTATGTATGTCGAACATCTTTCGCACCGTACGTAGCCAACCATGCTAATCTGAAGGCAAAAGGTTCGAGGAAACGAAAATAAAATGCATAAACCGCAGGCACCTGATTGATGATGAACTTGGGCAGGATGTGCGTGTGGGCGAGCTGGTCGCGAACGTGGGTGTAGAGCATGGAGACCGGCCACACGGCGAAGAGGGTCAGCAGAGAGGGCATCATCATGACCCACGAGCCCAGACTCGCCACGTTCAGCTGCTCGTGCGCACGACAAGTGGCGAGCACGTGTTCCAGTCAACGTGTGGACACGACCGCAGTGCTGGTGTACAAATTGGCGAAAGTTAACTGCAGCGTAACTCTTTTTTAAATCCTTTATATTAAGTTCGCTTGCTTGCTTGCGTGCTTGCTTGCTTGTTTAGGACCGTGCAAATCTTTCGGTCGTTTTTTAACCCACTTCCCGTGATCCAATCGAGCTGACATTTTCCACACAGACTCGTTGTGCCAGACAATTAATGTTCGTGAAAAAAAATTCCCAAAATTTTACACTTTTTAGGCAAAAAAAAATTATTTTACATATATTCAAATAGAACTCATTCATCGCTTTGGCTGAACGTCAGAGTTTAAGAGCCCAGAGCGTAACCCCTCCACAGGCCGTGGTGGAGTAGCGCAATTGGTAGCGCCCTCGCTTCCCATGCCAAAGGTCGCGGGATCGATCCCCGCGTCCTGCACAGGCGAATATATTTTACAATCCTTTATATTAAGTTCGCTGCCACGCATATAAAGGATTTATAGTGAAAAACTTTGTTTTTACGGGTTATACTTATTTTACGTGCGAATCTCAGTTTTCTGTGAAGATACGCGTATATTTTATTGCTCACTTGTATGATGCCATTTTAATTAAAAAGAAAATGTCCAAGAAATTAAACGAGCGTTGGGGTAATGCTCGTCTCCATTTCAGGACTGAGCCAGTGGTGGAAATTCCTCATTTCTAAGGCAGGGGCCAGTCTCTCCTCAGACAACCACTGGGTGGGCTGAATCGGCCCCTACACAGGGATTTGAACTCACAACCTTCCAGTTGGTTGTCAAGCGTTCTGCCACGGTGCCGGCCATCTCAAGACATTAGGCATGAATCTATTTTGAGGAGACAATGCTGTCCGCTCTATTTTTTTTATTCATTGTTGTGCCTGCCGTAAAAGTCACTGCAATGAATTTGAATTGTTTCACCGACTTGTACACAGTCAGTGTGCAAGTTGATGAAACCAATCCAGGGCAGACAGAAGCGAGTTGACGCAGACCAGACATCATCACCCTGTTGAACTTATACAAAGCTTTAAAAGCTATGTGTAGAATATGCATAGATTTTGCAAGTACTGAGGCAGGCGTGTATGACAACATTGATGTTTGGGTACACGTTTTTTATTTTATTAAATACAACAATACCCACATCTGTCAAAGTGGTATCCACGGCAGCACTTCTTTTTGCAATACATTAAATATGTAATGCACCACTGACTTCGCAAACACAACATAACAATGATCGTATCAGCTCATATCATGGCAGAGGGAACAGAGCATTGCTGCATTTGTAATTCAAATGCAGGGTGGGTGACGGGACGAGGCACTGCAGCCTAAGAGGAATATAAAAAGGGAGTCCCTGCTTACTCAGCTTCTTGTAACATTTTGCCTTCCTATAAAATAGAAAAATATATAATATGAAGGGTGGGGGGGTAAAAACGTTGTTTCTTTACCTATTATTTATTTGATGTAATACTCACTTTTCTTATGCTATTCATTGCACATGGTTGCACCTTATTTTGCGTGCGATTGCAATTTATTTTGCTCAGTCGGTGTTCGATGCCGAGGTCGAGATGGGTTTCTTTTTGTATTCTTCTTGCTCTATGTACCCTGTACCGCTCCCATTCTGCTGTAATGCGCACTAAGTGCCCACTTTATTGAGGGAAATATTGGCAGATAAAATAAAGATTGAATGATTCATTTTTCAACACATTAAGGGTAATCTGCTCAGCTCTTTATAAAGAATGTAGGTCTGAATAAAGTGCCATCCACTCACTTTGCCCGGGATGATGAGGCCGTCGATGACGAAGACGTTGCCGATGAAGAGGATGATGAGCCGCAAACACAAAATGTACATGACGATCTGCCGGAGGATCCTTATATTGATCCTGTGAGGAGACATGGCCGTGACCCACGCGCAGCGAATGTTCAATTTGTGCTCAAAGGACATTTTAAAATAGCAGTCAGCGAGCATGAGACAGGTGGAGCATGAAACGTCGGACATCGTGCGGAAACAACATCGCGGCACGACCTGAAAACACATCGGAGAACGACACACGGTGGACTTTGTCGAATACTCATGTATGTTGAACTTCTTTCGAACCGTACGTAGCCAACCATGCTCATCGGAGGTGTGGGGGAAGGACAACAAACTACACCATTGGAACTTCATTTGCCAGTAAAAAAAAAAATATTACTGGCAAATGAGGTTCCAATGGTGTAAATGCTTCACCCCGAGCTCTCATACTCTGATGGTGCATTGTCTTTGAGTTGTGCGCCTTTTGGCGTCAGTCTGGTCCAACACCATGTGAGACTAGGCTCTAAGGAAAGCTGTCTCGGGTGTGGACCAATCAACTTCAAGGACAGTGCATACATTATCAGAGTTATGTTTTTTGTTTGCATTATGACTGCAGGTATTGTGGTCTATGCAAACATGACTCCTTGTAAAAAAGATGTGTCAGTTTTGTTGCCAGATAGAAGGGTAAAAAACCAATTATGAAAACAAACTAGACACAAAAAGTCACTCTAAAGGACCCGATTAATGTGGGGGCTCGAGGGGTTGCAGCCTGGGGCCTCTGAGTTTGAGAGGCCCCAAAAATAAACTGAACTGATTTTTGTGTTAAGTTCGTTGCCCGTACCTCGCACCTCCGATTCGCACGGTTGGCTACGTGCGGTGAGAAATAAATTCCACATACATACGGACTCACAATAAAGGTTTTTAGGTTAGATCGCGTAAGTATAAATGTTTCGATTTAAAGCTTTCGTGACTGCAGGGATTCATATTCTTGGTTCTTTCGGTAAAGTCACGTAGAAGGGAAAAAATAAAAGAATACAAATAAAACGATAAAATTCTCACGACGTTTCGATTGCAACACAAGCAATCATCATCAGGTGTGAAAACCACAGCCAGTTGCTGTCCGTGGTGCTAAAATTTAAAAAAACGCCACTTTTTTCAAATTTTATTTCTGTGGTTTTCACACCCGATGATGATTGCTTGTGTTGCAATCGAAACGTCGTGAGAATTTTATTGTTTTATTTTTATAACTTTATTTTTTTCCCTTCTACGTGACTTTACCAAAAGAACCAAGAATAAGTATAAATGTGTCGTAAACCTCCACTACCCGACACAGCCAGTAAGGTTTGTCACGTAAACAACACGCGCCAATTAGTTACTACTTAATCCACTGGTGTGTCGGAGAGTAAATCCACAACATTTACAATTGTAACCCAAAAACCTTCATCATGAATAATATTGTTCGCGAAAGCCTACGTGTTAAACTGATTCATACAGACTGCTTTTAATTGGTGAGGCGCAATACTGGAGTGCTACAATAACATACGTGTCCTTTCGGTGAGATTCAGCAATTAAAATCGCAGCATCGCTAAGTGCATTACTGCCAGTTATGTACCGATGTTAAAATAGTGTTATCCATTTTAGATTTGAAATCGCATTACAATTCGTATGTTAAAATCTCGAAATTTAAAAACTGAGGCGAATAACAATTGCTTGTTTGGCATTGATGGTAGGTGAGGGGCGATATCAAATGAGGTCTGGGCCCGCGTTGAACCCAACCGGGTCCCCTGCCCGCCTCTTGCCCAGCACTCGTGGATCGCCCATTTGGCCGAAAGCAGTGGCGCAGGTGCGACGGCCTCACCTGTTGAACTCGACGGTGGGCAGGCAGAGGCAGCAGCAGCAGCAGGGCCCCGTGCTCGTGCGGAAGGACTCGTTCTCAAGCTTGCTCAGCATGGAGCTCGTGCCGCCCATGTACACGATGGTGAGCTCCACGAACAGGTAGATGCAGACGCCAAAGTAACTGTTGGCGGGGAGGGAGGGAGGGGGGAATAACGGCGCGTGAGAAGATGAATACTTTGTCTTCTTGGTTCTTTCGGTAAAGTCACGTAGAAGGGAAATAATAAAATAATAAAAATAAAACATAATAAAATACAATTCTCACGACGTTTCGGCCACAACGCAAGCAGCCGTCCCATTCAGACGCTGTCTTTCCGACAGACCTGTTCTTCACCTGAGGACGGCTGCTTGCGTTGTGGCCGAAACGTCGTGAGAATTGTATTTTATTGTTTTATTTTTATAATTGTATTATTTCCCTTCTACGTGACTTTACCAAAAGAACCAAGAAGATGAATCCCTGCAGTCACGAAAGAAGCTTTAAATCGAAAAATGAATATTTTGCTTTGAAGGACAGTAATGTCGCACGAGTACTGGAAGACGACGGCATCGTTGGTTGTTGACGTGTGTCCGAGTGAGAAAGGCGGCGGTGGGTGCGTCACTCCTGCGCGATGGAGGAGAGCAGGTTGCTCATGGAGGCATTGAGGTGGCGCCCATAGGTTGGTGACCAAAGGGAATGAGCTAAAGCCCAATTTGTGACGATGAGACTTTCAGAGTGACCCTTTGATGCCGGGCGTCGGCTGTGCCACAGCGGCGAGATCTGGCGAGGCGTGGTGGCATCGGCGATACACTTGGCTGTGATGAGGTCTGTTCTGGAGGCGTTGCAGGAATGCGATCGGTAAAGAGGGGGGGGAACACTTACACGGACGAGAGGAACTCGGTGAAAACCGTGGCACGGGGCACCCACATGGCGATGGTGGCTCCAGAGGCAATCACCTGGACAGCGGCCAATGGAATACGAACTTGATTAGACGAATGATACGACATCATGAGCTTGACAATGAACTGTTATTTCACGGGACCTCCCTGTTATTTTTCGATTACAGTGAGGAGGATTGCAACTAAAGGTATTGAAAAAAAACTTCTGGTATTAATCTCCAACTTACATCCCTAAGCCAATAGTGGAACATCTGCATTCCTATGATGGGGCCGAAGACACTCATTGTAAATTCCCCACAACGTGGTTTGAGTATTATCGTCTCTAGACATACGATGGGTGGGATTGAACCCTCACTCAGTTGAGTCAATTAGTTTCACTGCATTTATAAAAATAATGTCCTTTATTTTCCAACACAGTCTAAAGCCTCGCCAAGTCTCAAGGCTCTGATTACAGTGAGAGTATGAAAAAAACAATTGCAACACTGTAAATATTCACATTATTTAGTTTGTATCAAAACAGTATTCTAAACTACAGTGTATACACTATGCCAAAATGCAGATGGGTTAATGAAAATAAAAACGTGAAGAGTTTGTTTATATAACAACAAAAAAAGTGTATTACTGACACTTGGATTCTTATGGAGAGCTCTCACTCGGCTAGCCGAATCATCACAGGGTAATTTTCGTAAAAGTAAACAAATCCATTTTATTCTTCATCTATGCATCATCTCCACAGAAACTAAATTATACAGCAGTGTACACAATTATCATGAGATTCGTGCTGTAAAAAAACACTGGACAAATAACACAAATACTGAATACTGTACAATAATAATCTCTTAGGCTAATAATGAGCCGCACAGAGTCGTTCTCAGAGAGAGAGAGAACGACTCGGAGGCATGGGGAGCCACAGACAAGTGGAAAGGTTGCCAAGCGGTGAGCCAGCACCAACTATTGCCCAAGCTCTGCGGTCCGCTATATATTAAGGCGTTATCGACCAATTAATGAGCGTTTAAACATGTGGGTGGAAACCGGAGTACCCAGAGAAAAACCTAAGTTGGGCAACACTCTATCCCTGTACGAGTTGAAAATGGATTTAGATTGATCCACTTGCTGTATTGTCATAGGTGTGGTGGCGACTTCGACACACACGGAAAAATGTAAAAAATGCAATCCCATATGGGAAAACATTGGTGGTGGAAATTACGAACGTCATTGCAGTGTGGGGCTAAGCAAGCCGTGAGTCATCCATCTGATGCAAACAACTCCTTTGAGCGTTTATTATCAAACACATCTTTACAATGTACATCCTGAGAGGCCATTGCAAAACATGATTTCGTAAAGCACACAAGAGTAGCAAGGGATTTAGTAGCCTGCTCATATAACTTGCAAGTTTATAGGTTGCATTGTTTGTACTTTATAAGAATGCGAATTGTGCAAAAGAGGGCTGGGAAATTCTGCATGATCTAAAATGAACACGATTCCTAACGCGATCGTTACCGCTGGGCTTGGCCTGGCATGAGGAGTAACGTACCGCTGGACATCCTGTGATCACCAGCTTGGCAACGCGGAGGGAACGGTTCATGGGCTTCCTTGTGAAGTACAGCGACCGCTCGATGTATACGATGACGCAGAATAACGCCATCACGGACAGGATGATGAACATGAAAATGTTGATGGTGTGTCCCTTGACAACTGTAAACACACACACAAGTCATCATCATCATTATTAACAGCTCCGAATGATCCCACACGGTCTTGCGATTCCACGATCAGTCTCATTCCTGCACATCAGCTCATCTCGTTATTCCATCTCCACAATGGTTGTCCTTTTTGGATGTGTTCCCTTCTTTGGCTGAACTTCCATTGTGAGTCTGGTCCATTGGCCACCCTCTATTCTAGCAATATCTTTCTCAAGCTCACTTTTTCTTCAAGTCACTATATCTCTAAATTGCATTTGTTATCTTACACCGAGTTGCTCTCTTTTGTATCTCAGTGGATTTTTATAGCATGCATCTCTCTACGCTTCTGTGTGCATTTTCCCAAAAGTTTTTGTCAGCGTCTGTGTTTTATGCATGTCATAGAAGCAAACCTGTCAACCCCTTATCAGTGCCCTACCTTATTACAGACCAATTCAGACCTTATTGGTCACCCCGTGCCCTTATAAATCTCAACCATCATCCTACAAAGTGAGAAACACAAAGACAAAAAAATTGCCCGTACTGAAACGGCTGTACGCCGCATGAACCTGAAAACTCAATTTCCCTGTTCAAGAATACGGGAAAACCGTATGGGTTGACATATATGGAGCAGCTAAGAATGCGTTGATTTCAAACTTGCTTTGTTTGCAACATGGGTAAGTTGCTTTTACTAATCCCCTGCAACTCGCCTCTATTTCATCAAATTGATTTAATTTCACCGTCACCGTTACACAAATTACTTGGCGATACTACGTTGGCAATGGTGCACAAACAACAGCAAAAAACCTCGATACATTAATCAATAACGCTGCCTTGAAAGGATAAGTGTAATAATTACACGGGTGATCAATGGCCCTACATCACAGTACATATAGACCAGAGGTAGCACCATTGGGCCGACATACATAATGTATTGTGTGTTTAAAGTTACATCCCTCCAACAATTATCTTCTGAGCCAACTTGTTTTACACGAGACCTTTTTTTCGGCTCATGTTTTTTTTGTTATCTTTAGCTCAATCGTGCAGAATTATTTATGAAGTTCTTCGTGACGTTCCCTGTAGTTCACGCTGAACTTGCAAAGAGGACAGCCACAAATTACAAAATCACAAGATGAGCAAATACGCTCTCCCCAAGGCGATTTTATGGCAACTTTAGGTAACGTATTTTTATTCTGAACATACCACACACAACAAGTGTACAGAGTGTTTAGCCCAACACACAGCACACGCACGCTGCGAGGAAGTTTACTTCGGTTAAGTGACAAACGGGGCTAGGTGAAGTCTCAGGAGGGGGTCTAAGGGCGAGGAATAATCTTGGGGAGAGCTCCGTGCAGTCAATTCCTTGTCCCGGCCACCACCCGTGCCGGATGCCAAACACTCCGTTGTTATTTACTTTTGGTTACAGCAGTTATAGGTTTTTTTGACATGATATACAAATTGTAAAGCAAAATTAAATAATAATAAAAGCAATTGAATTGAAATGTTCAACACATAACTGGTAATGATACACGTATATGCTATGGCTTTAATAGCCTATTTATCTATAGTGTGGTTGGGTGGGTGAGCGTGTGGTTGGGTAGGTGAGCGGGTGGTTGTGTGGGTGAGCCTGTGGGTGGGTGAGCGTGTGGGTGAGTGAGCGTGTGGTTTGGTGGGTGAGCGTGTGGGCGGCTGAGCGTGTGGGCGGGTGAGCATGTGGTTGGGTGGGTCAGTGTGTGGGTGGTTGGGTGGGCGGGTGAGCGTGTGGGTGGGTGAGCATGTGGTTGGGTGGGCGGGTGAGCGTGTGGGTGGGTGAGCGTGTGGTTTGGTGGGTGAGCGCGTGTGGGATGCATTACGCGCAAAGATGGCCGTGGAGTTTGGCGACTCCTGTGCGCAGGCGATGTTGTTGCCGGTGGAGTCATTGCCGATGCCGCTGCTCATGTTCGTCTGGGTGGGCTGCGTGCTCATGGTGGCTGCTTGCGAGCTCCCGGCAGCTGAACGTCGCGATTGCACGACGCGGGTTGCCCTTCTTATAGGGGAGCGCTCACTCCCAACTCCGCTCGCCCTCTCGCTCGCTTCAGCCGCAACACGCGAAAGCCCTCGGCGTTTATATGGCCCATCGCGCCAAGTCACCTTCGTCCTTGGTCATTGCACGCAAGTTCATGGGGGGGGGGGGGGGGGTGGAGGTTTCTCCGTTGCAAAACGTGTCGAGAAGACGTTGCGTGTTCACACGAGGGTCTGAATGTACGACGGAGTCTGAAGTGAACCAACGCGTTTTTGTTGGACCCTCTCGCTTGCCCGTCCGTCGAATCGCGCTACGGGTCTGGTGAAAGATGCACTCACTGTGAGGCCGTGTGCTTAATGCTACGGGAGAATTGGAGATACGTCTGTTGGATCTGGGACAGCTATTGAAGGGAGGGTTACGTTTAAAAAAAGCTTCAGATGAGAGCAATTTGGAAGAGCGATTTAATGACGATTAAATTGATACAAAAAATAAAGCAATGAGCCTTAAGAAACAAGTTTTTTTAATCAGCGTGTAGCAGCTGCTATGGAACACGATTAAGACACGTGGCCATTCACAATAAACAATAATAACTCCGAAGTGTGCAAAGAAGGCAGACACATGCTTGAGATCAAATTGACATATATCTCATTGGGTTAACTCAGCCCTTTGTTTCTCAGAGTTGATACTATATTACAGTATTTCTTATTGCTTCCCCAGGAGAACCCGAATCCCAACACAATTTTTGATGAGTGCCCTGCATTTGTATTTTGGAAGGAAATCACAGTGCCTGAAAACCCCACACATACGGGGAGTAGCATTCGACACTGCCACCTCCTGGTAACCTCACAACCCTGGACCTACAACACCTGGCAAGCCTTGCCTGTCACCCATCCTACTGCCCACCAGGATCAGGGGTGCCGCGATGGCGACATGTTAACTATCTCGCCTGGTATACAGGATGTCGTGAGTCAGATCTCGACCCTGACGCCTGCTGTATATTTCGAGTTTGCATGTTCTCCCCGTGGTCGCGTGGATATTTACCCAGGTCCGTGCGTATCAACTATAATTTAGCTGATATACATTTCCACGTGATAAGCCACTTCGTTGGGCTATCATTTGTGGCCAGGTCGCCTCTGACAAAAGAGCTGTATTGCTCAGTGGCATCTTACCTGGTAAAATAAACAACAGAGTTTAGTTAGTAGTTGTCACGAGAATTGGGTGTACGAGTACTGCACTGTAGGAAGTCAACAATTGTTGTACTGTGCAGTGACTAGCCCCCACCATAGGAATATGGAATTTCCACTACCGGCGTTGATGAATAAAGAAAAGCAGCAGCACAGACTCACATGTAATAACACACATTGTTACATATTTGTGACTGCTGCATTGCAACCGAATTTAATCAGTACACTGATATTTTCACAATGTAAAAAAATCGATATTTACCTCTATTGTACTAAAGTACTACACGCAATAATCACAGTCGTTTGTCACGTACCTGCGTGCAGTTTATATTTAAGATGGACGGCATAGCAAGAGATGCTGGAACACGGCAAGTGTGACTTGTAACCCAGGAGTTCCTGGCCACGCACTGAACAAGAGGCAAGGATATCTGGAAACCTTTTTGTCTCATACAGCCTCGCAAATAAAATAAAAACCCGGTCGGACAGTGCTGAGTCTTCCAGATTTAAACCTGCAGTGCAATGCAGCATGATTTTTTTTACTGCAAAAGGTAAAATTCCTGCCATTCTACGGGCACGGCTCGTCGCGCGCAATCCGGGCGCAACCTTTGAGATTCATGAAACATTTGCAGCCTTCATAATTAAGAGCCAGCAATAAATGGCCCTCTGAGGTAGCCGCTTAAAAGTTGAGGCAGTTATTTTGAAAGGGGCTCATTCACGAGTTTACGTCCTTTATAGGCTGAATACAGCTTCATAAGCCGCGAAGTGGTATGTGGCCTTGTAGCGTCAGCATTCGCTGCCTTCAACTTACACAAAGTCACGGACTCAAAGAGGTGTGGGTGGGTTTTAATCTCTTGTCCAAGGACGCAGTGTTCTTGTTGTCCCACACGACAGCTCCGAGTATTGCCTCTGAACCAGCAAGCCAGACGTTATCTCTTCCCGCAGCCAATCCGACAATGTTAAAGCACTGTTGTATTTCTTTTCTTGTGTAATTGCTATCATAAGATGAAGATCTCTCATGACACGTTGAAATCACCCCGTGCGTTAGAACATGGCCCACAGAGGCAGGCGTCGGTAGAACTTCCTCTGAGATCTCTTTGCGGGATCCGTTTAAAAAACGAACTATAAACTATAAATATATTTTTTCAACAGGTAAGGCCCACTGAGCTTTAGAGCTCTTTTTTCAGAAGCGAACTGGCCACAAATGATAGCACGACGAAGTAAGTGGCTTATCACGTGGACATTTTTTTAGCAGCCCAATACTCTTCACGCATGTCGATTTTAAATGTGGAGTTACAATCCAGACGACCCCCAGAAAAAGTCATCACGACCACGGGGAGAACATGCAAATTCCAAATATACAGGCGTCAGGGTCGGGGTCGAAACCACAACTCCTACGTACCAGGCAAGGAAGATAACATCTCGCCATCGCGGCGTTACATCCACACATTAGGATGTTCACTTTCCCGCAGGCCCTGCCACAAAATAAATATTAGCTGCACGACAATATGACCAATATGGAATGTGAGACGAAAAACCAACACCCTTTGTCAACTAAAATTCCTCGCACAGCCATAACAGGCTGCTGGACAACGTGTTATTGTTAGCGAGCACCTATTAAGGCGGTGGTGACATGGCCCTTGCGGTAGCGCGTTTATCAGTTGTTGGGGAGATCCAAAATTCGAAACCAGTGGCCGCCTGGATTCGAACTTTATTGCCACATCGCTCCCTTAGCCGTCAACTGGCTCGGCATCCTCGACATCAACACGGAACGCCGATTGCGAGTAATCGTCCGTGCTGTACTAAAGAAGCATCGGCAAGAGCAGTGACAGAAAGTGCTTGTCGTGTTAGTCACTGCCTCAAATCTTTGGAAAACCCCATTGTAAAACTGATAAGATTATCAGGATGGTTGAACTCGTTTGCCTAGCTGTAGTAATGTATCTTTACCGCTTTACCTTCCGTCAAGCTGAATGGCCAGCACAAACGAGGTTTGAAAAAAGTATTTGTGCAGGAATTAAAAGCAATCCCACGGCCAATACAAGAACTGGGCCCCATCACAAGCACCAATGATTCAAAAATGACATAGCAATCTTCCCCGTATGCCTCTGCATAGACAACACTTAAAATATGTGTCAGATACATAAAACATACATTATGCAACTCGTGCTTTCAAAAACTACACGTACAACATGCGGTCATTGAAGTTTCCATCATGTTTTATGTAGAGGAGCTGTAAACGTCAACCAGCCATCAGTGTCGACAGTGATGTTTGATGTGTAAATCATTACACCAGCTGGGTACGGGGGTATGCACGTTACCCATGAAAGCGGACCCTGAACACATGGCTGGGAAGTCTGGCAGTATTTACACCGCAAACATGGACGTGTATAGTAAGTCTGTCAATCCACTGCTGGATGAAGAGGAGCTTCCCATGGCATGCGGGTCGGGTTGCCACCTGGACAGTCCGGGAAAATCTGTGTTCGGGTGGCCGGAATTGATTTGGACTAAGATCTGTAATCGTCACTATGGGAACCTCATTTGCCAGTAAAAATATGATAATTGGTTTTTTACCCTTCTAATTGGCAACAAAACTGACACCTTTTTACAAGGAGTCATGTTTGTATAGACCGCAATACCTGCAGTCATAATACAAACAAAAGACATAATTCTGATAATGTGCACTGTCCTTGAAGTTGATTGGTCCACACCCGAGACAGCTTTCCTTAGGAAGGCTGTCTCCTTAGGAAAGCTGTCTCGGGTGTGGATCAATCAACTTCAAGGATAGTGCACATTATCAGAGTTATGTCTTTTGTTTTTATTATGACTGCAGGTATTGCGGTCTATACAAACATGACTCCTTGTAAAAAGGTGTCAGTTTTGTTGCTAGTTAGAAGGGTAAAAAAACAATTATCATCTGTAATCGTGTCGAGCTTTATTTCGGTCTGCTACACAGTACCCAGAGATCACCGGTTCGATCCCTCCTCTCCGCCGCCTCTGTCCAACCAACATATGTAGTCCAGGGGCTGGCAATCTGCGACTCCGGAGCCACATGCGGCTCTTTAAGGGCTGCATTGCGGCTCTTGAAATGTTGAGCTTTATACCAAATTTGAAAATAAAAATGTGGCTCTTCTTGTTATTTTGGTTAATGATCCCTGACCGTGGAAGTCCAGCTTACCGTGGAAGTCCAGTTTACCATGGAAGTCCAGTTTACCATGGAAGTCCAGCTTACCATGGAAGTCCAGCTTACCGTGGAAGTCTAGTTTACCGTGGAAGTCCAGTTTACCGTGGAAGTCCAGCTTACCGTGGAAGTCCAGTTTACCATGGAAGTCCAGTTCACCATGGAAGTCCAGTTTACCATGGAAGTCCAGCTTACCGTGGAAGTCCAGTTTACCATGGAAGTCCAGTTTACCGTGGAAGTCCAGTTTACCGTGGAAGTCCAGCTTACCGTGGAAGTCCAGTTTACCATGGAAGTCCAGCTTACCATGGAAGTCCAGCTTACCGTGGAAGTCTAGTTTACCGTGGAAGTCCAGTTTACCGTGGAAGTCCAGCTTACCGTGGAAGTCCAGTTTACCATGGAAGTCCAGTTCACCATGGAAGTCCAGTTTACCATGGAAGTCCAGCTTACCGTGGAAGTCCAGTTTACCATGGAAGTCCAGTTTACCGTGGAAGTCCAGTTTACCGTGGAAGTCCAGCTTACCGTGGAAGTCCAGTTTACCATGGAAGTCCAGTTCACCATGGAAGTCCAGTTTACCATGGAAGTCCAGTTTACCATGGAAGTCCAGCTTACCGTGGAAGTCCAGTTTACCATGGAAGTCCAGTTTACCATGGAAGTCCAGCTTACCATGGAAGTCCAGTTTACCATGGAAGTCCAGCTTACCGTGGAAGTCCAGTTTACCGTGGAAGTCCAGCTTACCGTGGAAGTCCAGTTTACCATGGAAGTCCAGTTTACCATGGAAGTCCAGTTTACCATGGAAGTCCAGCTTACCGTGGAAGTCCAGTTTACCATGGAAGTCCAGTTTACCATGGAAGTCCAGCTTACCATGGAAGTCCAGTTTACCATGGAAGTCCAGTTTACCGTGGAAGTCCAGTTTACCGTGGAAGTCCAGTTTACCGTGGAAGTCCAGCTTACCGTGGAAGTCCAGTTTACCATTGAAGTCCAGTTCACCATGGAAGTCCAGTTTACCATGGAAGTCCAGCTTACCGTGGAAGTCAAGTTTACCATGGAAGTCCAGTTCACCATGGGCATGCATCGGCAACCTGCGGCTCCGAAGCCGCATGCGGCTCTTTAAGGACTCCGTCGTGATATTATTGATTAAGGACCATCTCGAATTCACATTGCATTGCGGCGATTGAAATAATGAGGGGGGGGGGGCGGGGGTTTCTTCATCAAAATAAAATAAAGATGTCTCTGCTTGTCATTTTGGTGGCCGACCCCTGACTGAGTCAAATGGCAGGTTACACGTGGTGGGGTAAAATGTGGGTATTCACGCCCCTGCCCAGCGAGGTCAAACTACCGTCCAGAGGGGCTCTCTAATGGGTGCCCTGCAGCCAGCGGTGATGTGGGCAAGACATTGTATGGATGCACCTCTACGTTTGTTTTACATTCACTGACCCACGTGATCGTTCCAAACACCCACGGTTGTGGCTGTACACAAGCCCGTATTGCAGCCAATCCCCTTCACTCGCAAAGTCATGCGTGCTCTTTCCGCCACTATGACCCCAGCCACACGATCAGCAAGACAATTTATAGTTGGGCACGAGCATAGCAATGCCTGTTACAGGTTCAAGCAATAATTTGTATGTTGTCCCCATATGAATCCAACAAAATGTACCTACTTCTTCACGAGACATATACTTTCAAGATGTAGTACAGTAAGTTCATCATTTGCAGCGCGAGATAAGATCTGGAACCTTGGCAGACAGCTTCAGGTAAAGGGCTGTAGACCATTAAGTATGTATGCGTACGTATGTATGTTGAACGTCTTTCGTACCGTACGCAGTAGCCAACCGTGCGAATCGGAGGTGCATTGTACCTATTGTACTGGGACTTCAGAGACGCGACGGTGATGTTATTATGCGGTCTGGCGGCTGGTCGGGGGCTGTGAGAAGCCTTCTGCCATTCGGCCTGCAGTGCCAGCCAGATGGTGGCTCTCCAACAGGGTCCTCCAGTTCTCATGCCACCCCAAGCCCCCGCGTATCCACGCGCATCATTTACTGCGCTGTGATAAACAAATCAACATCTCATACTGGTAGGAACCTCCTGGTTACATCAGCCCACAGGGGATTATTGTGTCCGTCCGTCGTGCAGGGAGGGGCTGGGTGGGGAGGGAGGGGCTGGGTGGGGAGGGTGGGGAGGGGCTGCGTGAGGAGGGTGGGGCTGGGTGGGGAGGGGAGGGTGGGGAGGGGCTGGGTGGGGAGGGTGGGGAGGGGCTGGGTGGGGAGGGTGGGGCTGGGTGG